TACAGACACACTAACTGCAAAGACTCCCTTTTTGTGCTTTGCACACAAGAGTCAAAAACTAAGCAATTATTATGCATAGATTTATGTCCATATTGTTTCAGGGCGCACATGTACAAAGTTTCATTATAATGTGATGATTAATCCTAACTAAATTAGTGGAAAGCTGAAAAGTAAATTATGCAAATTAGGTAATTATTATGATGAATATAAACCTAAAACTAATTTGATCATCACATTGTGTTAGAGTACATATGTACCAAGATTCATTGAATTAAGATAAGTACTGTCACAGACCATCTTTGTACGAAGTTTTATTGAAATGTGATGAGAACCAAAAATTATGATTTATTATGCAAATTAGCTAATTAATATGATCTGATTTTAATTCAAAACGAAGTGGGTCTGTGCAAGTTTCATTGAAATGGAATGATTAGTACATGCACAGTGATAGAGGGACTGTGGTACATGTGATATCAGTATAAAAGGTGAAAATTGGCTTATTATGCAAATTAGGTAATTAACATGCACTGATTTTAACCCAAAACTAATCAGGTCTGTGCATTGCCCTAGAACATCTATGTACCAAGATTCATTGAAATGGGATAATTAGTACTTGCGATATCAGTGTAAAAGCCAAACAATAACTAATTATGCAAATTAGTTGATTAATATGCACACATTTTTACTTAAAATTAATCAGGTCTTTGGTTTGTTCTAGAGCATCTATGTACCAAGTTTCATTGAAAAATAATGAAGTAATAGTACTTGAAATATCAGCTGAAAATTGATTAATTATGCAAATTAGGTAATTAATATTTCACATATCTGTTCATCGTCCTATGCATCTATGTAAGTTTCATTGAAATGTGATGATCAGTACCTGAGATATCAGTGGAAAAGCCAAACATTTACTAATTATTATGCAAATTAGGTTAATTATATGCATGGATTTTTACTCAAAACTAATCCCATCTGTGCATTAGTCCAGAGCATCTGTGTACCAAGTTTCATCAAAATCTAATGAATGGCTCTTTAGATATCAGTGGAACAGTCAAGGAACAGCTAAAAATTAGCTAATTATCATGTAAATCAAGTAATTAATATGCATGGATTTCAACCAAAACCCGATCAAATCTGTGCGTTAGCCCAGAGCATCTACACACCAAGTTTCATTAAAAACCAACATACGGTTCTTGAGATATCCGTGGAACGAACAGACAGACACACACACACACACACATACATACAGACAAGGTAACTGCAAAAACTCCCATTGTGTGCTTCGCACACGGGAGTCAAAAATTATCAGCAAATACACGAGATCACACGACCATATATAGTCATCTAAAACATTAGTCATATCACATTGATCTCAACCCAAAACCAAATTTGCACATTATCCCAGAGCATGTGTATCAATTTTCATTGAATGGTTCTTTTAAAATTGGCTAATTAATATGCAAATTAGGTAATTAATATGCACTTGTCTTCAACCAAAAACTAATCTAGTTTGTGCAATATCCCAGGACATCCATGTACCAAGTTTCATTGCAATATGTAAATATGGGGAACATATGAAAATGCTTGAATTTGGCAAATTATTATGCAAATTGCTTACCATGGTAATTGGTTTGGCAGATCAATGAACAATTCTCTGAATTCTATCAATTTATTCATGCTACAAAATCCTGGGTCATGCAATACAAATATGTGGGGGGGGGGTCACCAAAACGCTAAAAAAAAATGTAATTCCTAATACATGTATCTAAACTTTCATGGAGTGAAAGACTGTCAAGGAGAAAAGAATAATGATTGACATGTCTAATGTGTTTCAACCAATCAGATCACAGGCTAATTAACATATCAACTGAGACCCCGGAAACCACCCACACTCCGTGGCTTGGCTGCTCCACCTCCCATATGACATAATGCAAATTTACAAGCCCGAACCTGGCCAGTAATGTGAGGGCGCTTACACTGATGGAAAGTCTGTTGGGATTTCGCCGTAACATGACTTTCGCGTTCACCCCTCGTTTACGCAATTTATATTTATTTTTCAAGAATATGCCATCTGAATCGCAACAGACTGCAAGCAAGTCTAACTTGCATGCATTTTTATTGGAAATAGGCTTCTCATAGAGCAAATACAAAAGTCATATTAAAGGGTGGTGGTAGTCTAGCCACACATGTGCGTTGATAAATATTGGTTTTCCCACAATCCAATAAACTGTAATAAAAATCAAGGGTACGAGTTTTGACCTTGGTGCAACATGTATTACCCCCGGTAATTACCGCCTGCGACTCTTTCAATACCTTCCAATCACCAAAGAAATTATCTTGTTAAAGCTTGGTAACGTCAAAGTTTGTACTCATTGGTCAAAATCGCCATCTTTGTTCATACGAATCCCATATCTTGTGCGTACATGGCACAACAAACACCACCCTTACAGATACAGAGAGGATAATAACATATTCAGACCTACAGCTTCAGCTGTGCTTTTTATTGGAAATGAACGTCTTATTTACACACTGTCACGTTACATACTATACTATGATTTGTAATTAAATATATTGTTATCAATTACATAATGCTAGCGCAATCTCTAATTGAGTTTAATGAAAGCTTAGCAACATGCTTTCACTCTGTATTAAAGCGACAATTTCCAAAGATGCAATTTTATAGAGATGGACAGGCATGATTTTACGATTCCTGGTTGTCGTCAAAGTCAATTAGCAAACATATTTGTCATTTGGGTCCATTCTTGATGTGTTTAAAGTTGTACTTTCTACTTTGGGTACTGGTACTGCTACTACTACACTGAGACGATCTTCCACTACTCTCCTGCGATGACTGCTGTCTTTCTTGACGTCTTTTCAAAGCCTCTAGTTTTTTTCTTTCTATCTCTTCTGGAGTGTATCGCTGAGAACATGTCTTTTCACCTGAAATGAAATGAGAAATTTTAGCATGTTACACAGTCAGTTGCCAAGGATTACAGGATACATTTACCAGCTACACCATCATCTGATTTGTGCGGTTTCACTGAAGTCAACCATTCATGGCAGTCCCTACAAACCTGTGCGTGGTCATGTTAGGAAAAGCCGTATTTGACCTCGGTTAAATTGAATGATTTGATTGGGCGTGTCAAGGAGCTGGATCTATCAATCAGGATTCATGTAAAATTTTGCATTAATTTTGAATTTAAACCTTATATCACGTCATAGTTTAACTGACAAAATCATTGAACTTCCTGTTTGATTTCCCATAGAAACGTAACATGTCTTGCCTTTGTGTACACAATCCTATGACTGAAGGTTCAAGAAAAAATATAGGGAGTTTTATATTCCCCATAAATTTTGGTAACTGTTGATTAAAATTTGAGTAACTAAATGTAAATCTATGTTGCCCATAACTCAAAGTTGAACATAAAATTACAATTGGGCGCCGTTTCTTAAAAGTGGGCATGGTTAAAATATGTGCGTGCGTTTTTGTAACTTTGTGTTCGTAACTCAAACCTATACAAATCTGATTTAAGTACGTGATTAGATGTTTGAAAAGGAAAACATTTCTGGCATTTTGTAACACTATTTCCCCTAGAACCATGATTTGCACCAGGTAAAAATACTCAAAATGCTATATGGCATACATGTATATCCCAAAATCAAGTTTTCACTATATTTACACGCAATAGGTTCAAACACTTAAAAACAGCCATTAAAGGCCCAATCCAGTCACCACAGGCTATTGATTATTGGAGGTGCTGCTATGTTAATGAGTGTTGTTAATTGTATGTGGCTATTATGGAACATGTTCCGAAGATATGTGGCATTGACAATTTCTTTGAATCACTAGGATATTTATTTTACCGGTACAATAGCTTTTGTCGAAAATGCAGATTTGAAACAATGCATGACATATTTGCTTTTTATTGTAAAACATGGCTAGAAAATGACATTGAAAGCAGGCCATTAACTCAAATTGACCTATGTGGATTCATGCAAATGATTACATAATTCACATAGCGTGTTGGGAGAACTAATTTTATCAGTTATTCACTAAGGATAAGCAAATCTTTCTTGAAATTTAGAACACAACAGGGGTCTGGTATAATATGGTCGAATACAAGGGAATTTGGGTTGATAAGTTCTGATACGAATTTGTTATTGTGAAAACGGCTACAAAGATGCCAGTTAAATGAGTTCCCACTGAGCCATATGTGGCTTTTTACCTTTATTCGACAGAATCTCAAGTTTTACGTTATACAAATGTATAGATGAAACATTGAATCACTTGTGATATTCATAGTCACATACATTTACTTTGGTACAACATAATTGATCAATAAAAGTTGAAGGAAACTCGATTCTACCAGAGCTTGGCTGGAGCCATTTACTACAGCAAGACAATAATGCCTATTGTTTAGAAGCCTATATATACTTTACTTGGTGATGGTAATTATTCCTAGTACATAATGTGACTTATTCAATTAGTGTATTATATTGAACATAACCAATGTCCGACCTGGTGATCTTTCCTTTCTGGTGTGCCATAAATATCACATTTAATGACATGGCCTGCTGATACCATTTGTTTTCTTCATTGATTTTGAGTCTTCATGGCGGCTTTCAGCGGGTGATTTGATAACATTTACAAATCGACTACTTACCCTGACTGCTTGATAGTTTACCACTGCTTTCACTACCGGTAGTACCACTACTTCCAGACGATTTTACTGAGTGAGCATTCATGAATTGATTCGTTCGGGAGGAATTTCTGGCATTGTTGCCCATTCCATGTGAAACCAATGTTTTGTTACAATCACCCAGTGGTTTGGTGTTCAGTCCTGATGTTTTATTCATCAGAGTGTCTTTTGGGATTGTAGGAATATTTGTAGTTCCAAAAGTGACGCTGCTACTTCGTAGAGTCATGCGTGTTGGTGCCTTCTGGCTGTTTGCAGCCAACTTAGATGCTTCATTATATTTAGAAGCAGTTGTTGAGTTTGCCTTCAATGAAAGACTACCAGTGTTCTTCACTGGCAGAGTATAGTGGCCGACATTCTTTCTTGAAGATTCAGTCATTTTGTTTTCAGTCAAATTCATAGTCTGACTATGACTTCCTGTTACACCATGAACAATCTGTTTTGTACCAGACTGGGTATTTGTTTTCACTGAGCAAAAGAGTTGCTGCATCTTAGTGTTTGCCTTAGAACTGACTGGAGGATCAACAGCTTTATTATACAACAGTTCAGGTTGATTGGTTTTCAGACCACTTGCTTCATTTGTATTACCGAGAACAGTATCATCAATGTCCCAACTGTCGTCTTGCCCAATTAGTGACAGCAGTTCATCCGACGTTAGGCTAATGTCATATTCACTGTTTGCCGTTTTCATCAGGTTTTTATGACAGACTGGATCATTCATGTTCACACCACTGGCAGTTGTGGTTAACTGGTTTGTTTTAGAAAAACAATTTGCTTTCCCATTATATTCATGTGGATAAGATTTTGTACTTCCAAGCGTACTGGAACTGTTATTTCTCGTTGTCCTGGTTGAGGGATTACTGGGATTTGTGCTAGCAACGTTGTGGGCCTTATGAGGAGAAAAAGCTCGAGAAAATTGTTTTGAAGCACACTGTATTGCTAAATTGCTAGTACGACAGACTTGAGAAGAAGGAACTGTAAAGTTCTTGGCAGGAATAAGAGATTTAGTAGTAGTGGGTGCAGTAGTGGTGAGAGTAGGAATGGCTTTGTGACTACTTGATGCAACATGCATCCTCTGAGATAAATCACTGTTAACAGATGTCTGTGCACTTTGTGTCAATAAATTATTCACTGCACCTGCAATATTTAAGGGTCTTCTTGGGAGCGACTGGGGATTGCTGGGACCTTCAGTGTCCCTAGTGGCAGTGTGTTGCCGTGTATTGGGCACGAGCCTTGGTGGATTTGACAGTGCAGGCTTTGAAGCGACAGGAAGCTGTTGCTTATTTTTAACTGCAAACTGGTTGACTTTGACAGATGTTCCACCAAACTGCCTGGTTTTGACCGGCTTGCTCTCAGTCTCTTTCAGCTTTTGAAGAATTCGAGAAGTTGACCCTGTTGCCATTTTCGCTGTATCAATAACCGATTTAGCTTTATGCACGAGAGGAGTACTAGCAACGACATTTGAGTTCTTGCTAAAATCCTCAATCTTGACTGGTATGGAGTCAGCAATCTGTGAACACTGAATTTCAATCTGTGTTGCTTGTCTGAGAAATGAATCATCACAATACAGATCATCATCATCCCACAGGTCATCACCATCACCCAATAATGGATCGGGGCTATTACTCTTTCTCTTTCCAAGTTTTGCGCTTTGCACATCTGCATTTTCTCCTCCACCTTCATATTTACAGCTGTCATCTTGTTGGATATCTTCACTCACTTCACTGTGCACAACTTCTGTTGTTACTTTCTCAAACAGTTCAATAGAATCATTGTTGTTATTCTTTTGTTTCTCACTGTCTTCATCTTCCTCTTCACTATCGATCGCCAATATCACTTCCCCATTTTTTGTAAGAGCTGTTTCCTGATTGTCATTACCAACTTTAGGTCTGTTTTCAAAAACAAACAAAATATGCAATAAGACGAGGTGACTACGAATGCGACAATAAACTTGATCAACGAAACACATAATGTACATGCAAGTAAAACATAAATAAAAACATATTTACATAATAACGTACTTTAAACATAACCATGATATGATATGAAATTTCATACTGGATAAAAGCAATTAATCGAATAGTGCGAAGACAATAACTAATAATGCCATCCAACATGGTTTGACGGCACACATAATTAGCATTAATTAGCTTAGGATTCGTAATTGTAGTTCTGTAAAATCGTGACTTCTATGTCGTTATGACACTCATGTGATCATGGGATAAAAAGGTTACAGTATCAACTGATGTATCACTTAATCGTAAAGCTGGTTGTTATTCGTAATGTACAACATGTCACAATTATTGCACCATATTCATTAATGACTTTTCAGCATCTTATGAAGTCAACAAGGCATTGAACCTTTCATATAAAACATTTCCCATTAGGATTGTTTTCCTTTGTTCTTTCTGATCTTATAGGACGTTGATTTTTACTCGTGTTTCCAAGCAAGCTTCAAACATTATGTACTTTCTAGATTAGTTGTGATACAAGTGCACCAAAGTAGAATTAAGGTAGAGATGCAGTTTATTTGTGAATTTCATCAACAATATTTTTTTTCGTTTTTTATATAGATTTTTATCTAAAGAACATTCTGTGAAAATTTGACCAATGAATTCTTATTGGAACACCGTTAAAATTGATCGTTATTTTCTGGTTAAAAATAAAAAAACACTCACAATTGGAAATGTTTATGTCCAATTGCCTAATTTGCATGAGTAAGCAAATAACAGAACCTTTGATTGACATTATGCAAACTTCTGTGCCTCATGTTTCGATTCTAGGGTTACGCGATTAGTCATTACTGTGCGTTCGCTTCCTGGGATTGATTCTCAATACATAAAAAATCATCGAGGATAAATAATTTAATATCACACTTTGTACTCTTCACGGTAAACCATAGGCTCTGAAATACTCGTAGATTTTTTATTGAAAATACATGGAAGAGAAGCCATGATGTTTTGGTCGTGATAAAAAGTCACCTTCTTAGGACCGCCGTCTGTTTAATAATTTATGAGATGACGTCATATTTACTGGGCATTGCCACGTGTTTTTACCGACCCCATCAAAACACTGGTACGAATGACGTGTTTCTGATTTATATATTGAAGAGCAGTTGTTCTGATTTTACATAAAATGTATGTCTATACATTAACTTTCAATTTCAATAGTCTAGAAAGTCTGACAAAGTATGACAAAGCAGTAATTCTCGGTTTAACGGGCAAATATGCAAATTAGCCTTTTTCTCGTCTTCTATTTTTGGTGAATTTTTGGGCTCTAAATTAAAATAGCTGATAGACGCTTTTTCCATTTGTCTTGAAATTTTCACACATTATTGACAAGGTGCTCCCCCTTCAAAATGCGTCCGGACAGTTTATTACGGCGAGTGGAACAAAAATAACAAGTCCGCAATTAATATAGATATATAAATTATGCAAAACTAGAAAAGAGTGAACTTTGAGGTCATGTTGTGCGACTTTGAAAGCCGTTAGAGAGATGAATGCATTTGAATTAGTAGTATACCAAGGTATCCAGTGGGGTAATTTTACCCACAAACGGACTTGAAGTTTTTAAGCTAATTTTTTTTAAACCACTTTTGCCCAAAGAAGCATATTTTTGACCCAAAATCAAAAACGTATTTTGGATATTTAAAATAAAGATAAGTTTTACAAAGTTTGTATAATAAGCTTTCAGAAAATATATAACACGTTGGATATATAATACCATCTTCATTGTCTAATTACTCAATTAAAAAGCAAGCCAAATAAACTGCATCTCTACCTTAAGAACAGCAATGCATGATGTATATTGTAGTGAAAAATTTTTTTTAAATAATAACTTAAATCTGCAAAATATGTCAGATTTACCTCAGTATAACTAATGAATGCTGTTACTTTCAAATTAAATATTTTGGGCTTTCAACTAAATCTTGTCAATGAGAATACTTAAGTTGGCTTGCAGGGAAATCAATAAGAAAATGCAACATTGTTCTTAGAAACAACTAAGAATGTGTCTATAGAATTACTTTGCATGTAGCATACTTGTCCAACTTAGCACCCATGCTTGACCTAACCACCCACATTTCTAATTTTTGGTGTCATGTTAGACAAAGCCCCCATTCCTTCCAAAATGCCAAATTTCGTCATAAAACCTGGCCTTTTAACATTGTTTGAATCTTTTGTTCTTTCGTTAAAATTATTTGCAACATCATTAAAAAAAAATTGTGATGATTTTTTTAAATTGGAATAAAGGCACCTATATTTGCTTTTAGAAATCAGTGCGAGAAACAAATTGTAATCTTTTGCAAATCATTAAGAATTTTCCACATTAAGATAATAAAATATACAAATCTGAATTGACGAAAACCATACTTTTCCTGAAAAATATTGTCATCTTCATTATTGATCATATCCTGCGCTTCAGCTTCTTCAATTAGTTTATTCATGTATTTAGTGACTTGTGATGATCTTACACCAATTGGTCGCCCATTAACTTTTCTTTTATTCCTGAAAAAAAATGCAAATTCATTCTGGGCAACTTATCTTCACACAATTCGAAAAAAAATAATGTGGGTATTATGGTTTTAAAACAAATGATTATGACACCAGGAAGAACATACATCAGTGTTCTCCACATAGTGTTTTAGATATCAATCGAACACATTGCATTTCATGATTACAGATTATTTTGAGTAGGCATAAATCACCTACTTCAAACCAAGCATTGTGTAAATTCTATGACTGCAAATCATTGGATTCTGCCGTAAATTCACCCTGGGCCATTAAACGACAGTTTGGGTATAAAAAACAAGCAGCCTCTCGGCTGAGATAGCTCCGCTGTTAGCAATGCACATTAAAGAACAGAAGATATCATTAGAAAATGAACGATAAAGTATAGTATCGAAACAATCAGATATGCGGTTTTCAACAAGAAGTCAAAAATATCACTTTTTACCAAAAATGACAAAAATATTCACTAAAATTAGAGAATTAAAGATATCATCATGAAATGAACAAATCTGAGAGAGGTCCACATTTAGTACCTATATATGTAATATCAAAGCAATCAGACTTGTGGTTTTTAACAAGAAGTCGAAAATATCACTTTTTACCAAAAATATTTATCAAAATTAGAGAATTAAAGATATCATCACAAAATGAACAAATCTGAGAGAGGTCTACCCAAGGTAAATATACACCAAGTATCAAAGCATTCAGACTTGCAGTTTTTAAGAAGAAGTCGAAAGAGTAAAACATTGACACGGACGACGACGGACAATCACTCATATGATAAGCTCCGCTCGACAAAGTCGACAGCGGAGCTAAAAATTTAAAGAAAATTTGTATAATTTGACATACCAGGTTCGTTAATGTGATTTTTTTTGAAGAAAGATGACACTTGGTGACAATGTAATTTTAGGCGGTCTACTTTTCAGTTCAGCAAGAATTTTTTTTATCATATCTTAGATTAGTTTCTGTAGTTTCTTTCGTCTTGGTAGTCAAACTGCGGGCGTAGTCCTAAAAAAATATTTAATAATCATTTCTTGAAATTTTGAACTCCAAATAAGGGCTTCACAGCCATTTTTTGAATGGGCAAATTTACGGCAGAATCAGGTATAAGATTTTGTTTGTATTTCGAAAGATTGAGTGCATATACACAAAACATTTTCACATATAAAATATAAACGCTAGAATATATAATAATAAATGTATATGCAAATTAATATTGTGAATGTATGCAATTTAGGTTACCCAAAAACTATTTTGGATTGTGGAGAACAATGATATATACTATATATATATATATATATATATATATATATATATATATATATATATATATATACCATACATAAAATTAATTTACAAATTCTTGAAATGAATTAGGCATGAAAGCAATGTGAGCGTGAACACTGATGTCTGCTTGGCGTATTGCATACCTTCTCCTGATAGGGGTCTGCATACTGGATAGACTAGTAGTTCTACGGGTAGAACTACCACCTTCATCATCTTTATTCATCCAGACATTCAGTAGAGTTGGAGTGCTTGGCTTTGCACAGGTAACATCCTAACATAAGAAACAAACACTGTAGTGTAAATAGTAATCAATGATGAAGACATGGGGATAAATCTTAAAGTAATTAGTATTCAACAGGCCTCTGAAGCTTCATGGTCTTGTGACGCTTATACATGTAGCATTGGCATTTGTTTACAAGAAGTGTCAGTCTTGTCTGACAATAATACACATTGATCAAAAGGTGATTCACCTGTGTTAAGCAAAAATGGAAGTCTCCAAAGGGCTTTTCCAGGTTGCAGTATTTCAAGGCAAATATTATTCAACTGCAGACAAAAAGGCAGATAAAAATCAGACGATTTCTGACCGCTTCTCGTGGTATGTAGCAAGTTTAAACAAGTTTTTCAAACACAAGACAGATCTGGTTACGAAATGAGTGATTCTTTGTTTGATTAGTATGATCAGTATCCAATGAGTGGCCGTGTGATATCTTTGGTGAAGAACATATGAAGATTACTACACAAGTTCAATAAATAAGATGCATGGAGGTCACAAATTCTGATATATTGCATGTATTTATCACATGTATGTATTTCCAGCTGTCTTGCTGACAGAAACTTACTAACATTAGAATAGTTACGTGTGCACATAAAGTGTATTGGCGTGCTCTATTTACATAATAGAACACTGCTTCTTGAACAAATAATGCAACCAGCTCTTTGCCTGCGATTAAACAAATGATTAATTTTATGTTTATAGAGACATGACTGACAACATTTTAATTGTGGGCGAAGTGTATCAGCGATCTGAACAGTAAACAGCAGTTCAGTGGGGAAAACAAATTCTCAGTAAGGTTGGGAGAAATGGAAACAGCAATATCCTCAAAAGCGATTTAAAGCAAAAACAAATATTGGTGAATGCACAAAAATACCAGTATATAGAGAGAACAAAAAACTATTTTTTTAACCATTAAACGAGCTATGGTTTGCTATTTTAGCAGGTGATTAGTTGAGGGATGTCACAATATCATTTATATTTGTGTGTTAACGACCAATTAGAGTTGCCACTCTGGTGAGTCTATATACATACATTTTGATCATTTCCCAACTGGAAATACCTGCGTGGTACATCTTGCTAGGCCGACCACATTACAGAGTGCTAAAAACAATACTTACACTACTGGTGGATGTAATCCTCCTAACAATTTCTGAAACATTTGTTGCATTGGCATCTCGCTTTCTTATTTTAGTTGCTGAAATGAAATTACATAAGTCAATAAATATGCAAATCATTTGCAAGTATACAAATGCTATGGTTTGAATAGGATGGCAAATTCATAATCCTACTACATTAAACTACCTAATATTGAGCAGTAAATTGCACGTCTTTGCCAGCTCTGTTTCATCAATTCGGCTGACATCTCATTACTAAACCCTGGCAGGATGGATACAGTTAACCTATATTCACTGTCAAATATATCAAATAGTGGCATATGCTCTGACCCTTTTTAATGGTAAATAGAACACTAAATTATATCCATGGAGGGTCTATGGTTATCATGCAAGGTCGCATCTTTTTATCAGTTAAGCTATGGTATTATATAAGACGACAAAATCTATTGGTTTGGAAATAAGAAATTGAAAATCGATGCGAGTTGCTGTTATGGGAATGCTGATGGATAGAACCAGCGACTTACTAGTAGCGAACCCAATCAAATAAACAAAGTTCAAATATAGTAAGACAGCCATCGATGGTCTGCTTCAGCGAAATTGTGTAAATGAGACTACGTAAGATTAAGATCTTCCCAAGGGTTTATGGTTGCAATAGTTTCTCACTATCATCACTGAAATTATTATTTACAGCAATTCCAAGCACTGATTTGACGCCGAAATAGTGCTAGATGTTGATAACTTACTACAATAGGTTACACACTTTGTTTTCACATTTACAGAAGTTGTTACAAATAATGCATACAGCATGTCTGCAATTTGAAGCACACCAGAAGGAAGCTCCGCCCATAAAAGTGGCGGTACATTAGTTTTGAATTTCTCCTCCAATAAACGACTGAGGCTCTCAACTTAGTTTCCTACTTCAATTTGCGTCACATGTTATTTCAGTGAGCGCATAAAGTGGTGGCACTGTAAAGAACGTTAGTTAGAGTTATTTTACAGAACCAGCTGACCAACTGATCATGGCAGAAATGTTGATCAAAGTGCATTATTCCTACTATGGAAATGTACGAATCACGCCGATCTATATAACCACTAAACCGTGATATATTAAACTGAAAGCTGCCTGCAACAAATGTCCTATGAAGACTTCGCCAGTATATCAATAATGAAATTGAATACATAAGTAGAATGGATGTTATTCGATTATTAGTTCTTGACTATGAGAACCAAAACATTGCCACCAAATAATGCTGATGCTGCAGTGATTTTTCAGCTTTCTTTTTTTACAAAACCCCTCTGTTTTTACACAAAACTCATCTTTATTCAAAATAACACCTCCATGTTTACTTAGTAATCACCTGACTAATCCGTGATACATATTGTAGACTATTTTTTTCAAAAAGCCAGGAACAAGGGCTTCAAGAAAATATATATTTTGCCATGCTTCAAAACACTTTTCCCCTTGAAAAACGTTTTTACTTTTTAAAGCATGATAACTCCACCGTATCCGCAAACAGCTTTATCGCTAGCAACACACAATCACACGTCCGGGAGGGTTGCCGCCATACATACACCGTCTTCGAGTAGTTTTGTCGAATTTACCACAACGGTTCGTAAATGCTCGGTCTCAGCGTTTTATAATATTCGACATAGTCTATAACGTTGTCAGTTTTTTAGGCGCGGATTGGTAGCTCTTACGCTTTCCTGGCAGAATACTCTCACCGTGGTAACAAACCGTTTGACGATATTATAAGCTTTGAAACATCACTTCGATTTCCAATCTTCAACTGGTTTTTCGACTCCTTGCTTCTCCATTGTGGTGTTTAAACAACTTGGACAAATTCCGATTTGTAGACACGCAATCAACACAATGACTGACCAAAAGTGAATGAAAGACAGACGCGCCACAAAGTCTGGGTGCATCGGACTTTGTAGCAAAAATAGAAAACATTATCTGTCAATCATTCCCCTGATTTGCAGTCAATGTTTATGTTTCTAGTTGCAACTTATGTAAATGTGAAAACAAAGTGTGTAACCTATTGTAGAATGTTATCTATATCTAGCACTACTTCAGCGTCAAATCAGTGCTTAGAATTGCTGTAATATTTGCTGTATAATGAAGTGATTATAGTGACACTGAGTTCCTTACTCTGTAACCATATACAACTTGTCATTGGTAATATGCAAATCTCTGTCTTCAGTTCACAGACATGTGTTTTGTTTTTTTCAGCGGATAGAAGCGAATGACTGATTCATTGATAAATAGTACACATTTTTGATGACTTACACGCGCACCAGCGACCTATTCACTCAGCCAACAGCTTGCCGAATGCCACATGTAGGTGTCATAATATGTCAATATGTCAACACATGATACAATACTTTTTCACACATATTCCTATATCTTACCAAGTCTCGTACATCTTCTAGGTGATGGAGTGTTGTTATCCCAAGTTATCTCTGGTTCTCCGTCTATTGAGGCATTCATGGAATCATTCCAAGGGGAGCGGCCGACTGCCCTATCTAGAATTAGCAAACAAATATTTGGTCTTAAATCATACTATAAATGTAACTCCATGTACGGTAACTCGACACGATTGATGTAGCCAAGTTTTTGTAACATACAAGATATAAACAGATGTACAAATATTATAGACCCGGTGTGTTGAGTGACGGTGTGTATAGTGGTTTATAATCCATGTGTCAGCATTCCCATTTCCATAAGATTGTGATTGTACGATTAATTAAGTTTAGATCATAAGATATTTGTAGTATCGTAGTGTTTACGCAACAAGATCTCAGTATGTGCCGAATATTGTTAATTAGTCCTTCATTTTTGTTTACACACTACTGAAGATTTGGCTCATGCAGATATTTTTTACCAATTCATTATTGTTGTTGACTTGTATGTTTCTTTTCACTTCATTTCAAAGGCTAATAAAATATTATTATTATTATTTGAATATTATAAATTATTACGAAGGTACCTCAAAGTATGCACGAAGACAGTACAGTGGCAGTATCGACCGACGCGCAGCAGAGGTCGATGCAACAGCGTACTGTCTGAGTGCATACATTGAGGTATCCTTGTAATAACCTTAATATTATACATTATGTACATCTTTTCCTTCCAAGGATACATCATGGGAATGCCGAAACTTCTTTGTGTGGAGTTCGGGTCAAACCCTGATGGCAGCCATGTTTGTTTTTAATATTAGAGGATGCTTACCCGCGTAATCATTCCATATTTGGAATTTGCGTTTCCTAATATGGTAGGATGAAAATACCCCGTAAAATACCGCAAAATTACAGCACGCTGTAACTTATGGCGTTACGGTGACAGATGTATAATAAAATATAATTATTCAATGTGCCGAAGTGTTGGTAAACATGGAAAAGATGTTTATTTCTGAATATTACGAAATACAGTACATATTGTATCCGATTGTATTTTATAGAAATCGACATCACCCTGCACAATGTGACGAGGCAAATGAATTGACTGTGAATCTTCGGTATACTCTTTGTTGGCCATCAACTGTTACTGCAGCCTAATCCTTGGCCTCTCCTCGACGTTTGCAGCGAGAACTGCAAGAAATGGTTTTTTTTCAAGAGCTAGCCGCACTCGAAATACCAGCCTAGGAAGTTGCGAGTACCTACTCGCAAATGTGCCTAAAATATACGTCTATGCGAGTACAAACTTGTAAGTATCCGCATTTAGCTTGTAGATTTCAGAAACTGTTGTATTTTGCGAGTGAAAATTGAAGCCCTACACGCAGCTGAAACGTGCCTTTCACGAGTCACACTAGACGAGATACCGTGCACGATCTTTAGGCTTTGAATAATTTAGGATGTACTGGGAAAGTCATAATAAAGAAATAGTAACATTGTAAATATGTTATTGGCAGTTGTTTTGTTCTTGTCAAAATACGGGCATACAGTTTTTTTTTAAATGAATGCCAGTTTTACACTGTCGACAGCTTTTTGTTTGTCAATTAAATAATTTCCATTGGCTAACGTGACGGCGTTTTTCAGTGTCAATTAAGTAGTGTTAGAAATATCAATAATCAAAGTCGCATTTTCGGCTCGAACAAGACATGGCGAATAAGCAGATTACTAATATCATTCGGCCGGTGGAGCATAAAACAATCCCAACAACAAACTCCGGGGCATCAGTTCTACATCCTCGCATTCAGCCACAAAACGGAAGATGTGGGTGATCTAATACTTATCAGCCTGGAAGGCCCTAGCATTGCCGAATGTGATCCTTCAAGCTCTGTTCCCAGATGGATGCAGGAATCAGTGCGGGCAAGACTACCAAATGTGAAACTGGAGGGGCCTGATAAGATCGTAAATGCAGTGTTCGACCAGGATACAAATCAAGATATTTTGTAACAGAACAGTATCTCTCATTACAGTATGTGATTATTGTAGTTGTATTCGCAAAGATTAGCATAACACATTTTATTTGTTCTACGCATGAAACAATTTTGCTCCTAAAATTTTAGGTTTAGGAGCATTTTGCTCCTAAATTTTTAGTGCTTAGGAGCATTTTGCTCCTTGCCAAAAAGTTAACTTCCTAGGCTGAATACATAGTTTTTTCATGGTAAAAACATCTGAAATACTTGCAATGTTTTAATAAGTTTCACCCGTTTATTTACACTTCCCGGCTGCTCTGTTTTCGTGACAATCGTAAAAGCAGTGCCGGTCACAGAGTGAAAATAGAAAACAGCATCAATCACGTGAATGATATTTACATTCGAAACACTACAATGATGTTTTCACTCCTATAACAATATAAATCAGTGCATAACACAATATTGCATGTAATTTTGTATGATGAATGCTATGTACTCACCAAAAGCTGAACGCGTTCGACGTCCTGACCGTGGAGTCTTTTGAGACTTTTCTGCGTAAGAATAGCGGCGTTTCCTTGCAGGAAACACTTCCCGGATACTCATTCCTGATTATAGAATACAATGAGGTTCCATCTCGGATATCAAATGTTGCAAAAATATCATTATTTTCTACAGAAATAGAGCCGAAATGAACAACACTGCACAGAATATGCAAAATAGGTAGCCATCTTCAAAAAATCCCGCCTCGCTTTGGAAGGATTTTGGTATTCATGAATATCAATTCTGATTGGATAATCAATATCACAGGTCATTTCATCTCTTAAACTCTCCATAGAGGGCGTAAACTCCAAATGTTGGGCCAACACCTCGCACCCTGCCTCGCACCATAGACCTATGCTCGCACCAAGAATAAACCAAGATTGACCCTGTCATAACCCTAACCACACGTGAAGTTGTTCCGAGGTAACAACTAGTGGAAAGGTGACGGTCGTCATAGACTACTGTATTAACGTCGATCACTATGTCGAACGATAACACACATGCAAAACAACGTGTTGCAGTTGTTGGAGCAGGTTTGGTAAGTAAAGTTAACTACCATATTCTTGTCTTGCTTTAGTATTTGAACAGAATAACGCAGTGAAACATGGACGGCAAGTAAAGTTCACTCGCTGCCCATGCCTTCCATGCACTGCCGGAACGGGGCGGGGTCAAAGTGTTATGCAGCTGCCATTTAGGATAGGATAGGATAGGATATTTTATTTGGCACGTACACAATACAGAGCTCGTGTAAAGTCCAAAATAACACATACTGTGGTGAAATCTGGACAAGCGATATTATTAACATGCTTGTTTAAACAATCCTTGCCTATGGAAAAATTACTACAAGTAAACTGTAAAGCTACAAACTTGACATGTTTACTTGAACTGGGAAGATATCTACTTATCATCTCAAGCATCAAACGTATGATTAACTACTGGCTGAAAATAAAACATATGGATGAAAACACTCTGATCTCTAAGACCTATAAACTTGGCACCAATTTGGACAAAGAAAACATCAGCAATTAGACCACAGGCATCAAAAAAATACTGAACTTTTTAGAAATTCGCAATGTTTGTGTATTATCCTATTAGCTAGAAAAAAACTAAAAAATAAAGTTTGAAAAACACTGCACAGAAACAATGCCATAATGACAATAAAGGCACTAATCACAAAAATAAACGTTGTACCTACAGACAGCTGAAAACTGACTTTACACTTGAAAAATACCTTGAAATTATTAATAACCCCATCCATAGATCATCTATGAGTATATGACTAAACTGAGGATAAGTGCCCACATACTTCAGATTGAAGTTGGGCGATATCACAACATAAATATCTCATACCAGTAATAGAACATGCCCTGTCTGTGACTCCAATGAAAATGAAGAACACTTCCTCTTCACTTGTAACCTGTACAAATCTGAAAGAGATGCTTTGTTTCGAAACTTAAACTTATTCAGTAATCTGAAAGCATTTCTCAATAACAAAAATTCTGAAACTGTCCAAGCAATTGCCAAGTTTATCAGTGACTCTTTTACTAAAAGAGAGAACTTCATGAAAAGCAATTTACCAGCTGCCTCAAAATAACACCAGAAATATTTATATAATAATATTTTCACAGTATTACTATTTCTTTTACTATTTCTTTTTTTTTATTATTATTATTATTCCTTATGTATTTTATTGTTCCTCATATCCTTATTGTATTCTAATCTAGATCCCAGAGGGGATACGATATCAATAAAGGTTATTATTATTACAAAATAAGCAAAAACAATTCTAAAATATAAAAATAACATTTTTCTAGACAACTACAAATAAAATCATCAGAACTTGAAAAAATCAAAACAAAAATATCAGCTGTGGTGATTTTTTTTCAGTTAAAAAAATTGGAAAAAATAGCTTGCGAAAGGTGGGGTGAATGCGAAACCACCACAGACTGGTCTTATTTGCAGCGAATCTGTTGCTATTTATTCATGATATGCAGTGACATCATTGAATATATACAGAAAAGGAGTGGGGGTGTGCACGCTGCATAATTATGTAAACATTGTGGGTCTTCTGTGCAGATCGCTTTTCACTGTAACCCAGGCGAGATAAAGCTACACGCTACATCTCTCCATTAGAATAATTTGTACGGAACATTATAAATAGTAATTCGTTTGTTATGATTGACAATCAAGAAACTTGAAGAAAAGTGAAGTCTTCAGTGCAAAGGTTAACTACTACTAGATATAGTTTAAGGTCAAATTACTCTGATTGGATAACGTTCTTGCC